TTTTTACCTCTTACTCAGAAATTTTTACTAGCAGTTTGGTTCGAATCAGTATTTATCAAGGTTCTAAAAATTGGTAACTGGTACTTGACAGTTAGTGACCATATAGCCTGTGATGTCAAGTTCAGGCTCATGTAGTCTCATGTTCTTTGTATACAGTTGCCATCATGCAATTGCCAGTTAGGCTGTATAGTCACTAATGAGTGCACCAACTGGTAACTTTTGTCTGCATGGACATGCTTTCAGTTCACTAAACTCATGTATATTTCAAGTTGCACTCATGAAGTAATGACAGGATATTTTACGGTTTGGCATTATTTTCCATCTGTTCTCAGTTTGGATTCTTATTCTTCCAGGCAAGAACCATAAAAGAAGCTATCGAAGGCCTCAATTTCGAGGTCGATGAACTTCAAGAACAGGAAATTGCTGTATGCAGACTCCAGATAAAAGGAATGGCATGTACAAGCTGCTCGGAATCTGTGGAGCGAGCACTTCAGATGGTACCTGGAGTGAAGAAAGCTGCAGTGGGACTTGCCCTAGAGGAAGCTAAAGTCCATTTTGATCCAAATATCACAAGTCGTGATCTTATAATTGAGGCTATTGAAGATGCTGGATTTGGAGCTGATCTCATTAGTTCCGGGGATGATGTGAACAAAGTCCACCTAAAACTAGAGGGTGTGAGTTCCCCAGAAGACATCAAACTCATTCAGTCAAGACTGGAATCTGTCGAAGGTGTGAATAACGTGGAATGTGACACAGCGGGACAGACAATAATAGTTGCATATGATCCTGATGTCACTGGCCCACGATTACTTATTCAGTGCATTCAGGATGCTGCACAGCCCCCTAAATACTTCAATGCTAGCTTGTATTCACCACCAAAGCAAAGAGAGGCAGAGCGCCATCATGAAATTAGGAATTACAGGAATCAATTTCTTTGGAGTTGCCTGTTTTCTGTGCCTGTATTCATGTTCTCCATGGTTCTGCCAATGATTTCTCCTTTTGGGGATTGGCTGTTTTACAAAGTATGCAATAACATGACGATAGGTATGCTATTACGGTGGTTGCTGTGTTCTCCAGTTCAGTTCATTATTGGTTGGAGGTACAATCCCATCTCTCGAACAGCTTCTTCTTGATGTTGTTTCATGTTCCTTATCTCAAGTCTTTTGTTTATTGTATTTAGCCTAAATATAATGTTGCCTTCGTTTGTTTCCTTCATTGCACACATGCACTATAAATCATGTGTGGTTATTCACTATGTGTTATTTTACTGACAGATTTTATGTTGGAGCTTATCATGCGCTAAAACGAGGATACTCGAACATGGACGTGCTTGTTGCTTTGGGGACAAATGCTGCATACTTCTATTCTGTGTATATAGTTCTGAAGGCACTAACATCAGAGTCATTTGAAGGACAGGATTTCTTCGAAACTAGTGCTATGTTGATATCTTTTATATTGCTGGGGAAATATCTGGAGGTGGTGGCCAAAGGAAAGACATCAGATGCTTTGTCGAAGTTGACTGAACTTGCACCAGAAACAGCTTGTCTTCTTACTTTGGACAAAGATGGAAATGCCATTTCAGAAACGGAGATCAGCACTCAGTTACTTCAGAGAAATGATGTCATTAAGATTGTCCCTGGGGAAAAAGTCCCTGTTGATGGTGTTGTCATCAAAGGCCAAAGTCATGTGAATGAAAGTATGATAACTGGTGAAGCAAGGCCCATTGCAAAGAAACCAGGAGACAAGGTTGGTATTTTTTGGATCCTGATTGTATTTGCTCTTGTTATGAACTAGTATCCTGATGGTTCAATTGACTTGTTTTTAACAGGTTATTGGTGGTACTGTAAATGACAATGGTTGTATAATTGTTAAGGTCACTCATGTTGGGTCAGAAACAGCTTTGTCACAGATAGTTCAGTTAGTTGAAGCTGCTCAACTTGCAAGGGCTCCAGTTCAGAAGTTGGCAGATAGGATTTCACGGTTTTTTGTCCCAACGGTAGGTTCGCTTGTTTTCTCCTGCAAATTCCCTTCGTGCTATTTCCCACCAGCGTTTACAAAATTGCAACATTGCTATATTCTACCTGCCTAGCTACTGGTTAATAACAACTGGCTACGGAGGTAATCGAGGTATTTATCCTAGACAGTAGACACATAGTCAACTGCACTGGAAACTTTACCTGTACTGGTCACTAGTTATCGCACTAATAATTTCTTGGTATTTCTACCCTAGACTTAGTCAGCATTCATCTGGAAACTTTCTTGAACCTACCCCAGCTTCTACTGTAGAATCGTAGAGCAAATTATATTCAATTTAGTGGAGTAGCAGTTTTAACTCTACTCCTTACCAAGTTCACCTCCTCTGTAAACAGCTGGTTACTTATGAGAAATGTTACCCTGATTGATACTTGCAAATGTTTCCTAACTACTTTTGATGCTTCTCATGCATACTTTCTGTGAGATCGTCTCTTTCTTCATCTCATATTGGTCCCTCTCATTTTAAGGTTGTGGTGGCTGCATTTCTTACATGGCTTGGCTGGTTCGTAGCTGGGCAATTCGACATATACCCTCGAGAATGGATTCCAAAGGCAATGGATAGCTTTGAGCTTGCTCTGCAGTTTGGAATATCTGTTCTTGTTGTTGCATGCCCGTGTGCTCTTGGACTGGCTACCCCGACTGCTGTTATGGTTGCCACTGGAAAAGGTGCTTCTCAAGGTGTTCTTATTAAGGGTGGCAATGCACTTGAGAAAGCTCACAAGGTAACTGAGATGATTTCTATGTCATGTATTATTTTTTCTCACATCAAATGTATTCTATTTTTTTTATATTGTGACACTAAACTATTCCTTGTATTTCTTTATGTGCAGGTTAAAGCTATCATATTTGATAAAACTGGAACGCTGACTGTCGGTAAACCTTCTGTTGTTCAAACAAAGGTGTTCTCCAAGATACCGCTACTAGAGCTGTGTGATTTGGCTGCTGGTGCAGAGGTTGGCTTCTTAGATGCAAATGCTAATAATTTTTGTTGAATGTCGTGTGATGTTCCTAGTTTGCTGTCTCATGTCATCTAACCTTAACTTTTTTCTAACTTTGTCAGGCGAACAGTGAGCATCCTCTATCAAAGGCTATTGTAGAGTACACAAAGAAGCTCAGGGAACAATATGGATCTCACAGTGACCATATAATGGAGTCCAAGGACTTTGAGGTGCATCCAGGGGCAGGGGTGAGTGCCAATGTTGAAGGCAAGCTGGTGCTGGTTGGAAACAAAAGGCTTATGCAAGAATTTGAAGTTCCAATAAGTTCTGAAGTAGAGGGACACATGTCTGAAACAGAAGAGCTTGCTAGGACCTGTGTGCTTGTTGCTATCGACAGAACCATCTGCGGAGCTCTTTCTGTGTCAGATCCTCTGAAACCTGAGGCAGGCCGTGCCATTTCATACCTCAGCTCAATGGGTATCTCGAGTATCATGGTGACGGGCGACAATTGGGCTACAGCTAAATCCATAGCTAAAGAGGTCGGGATCGGCACAGTATTTGCCGAGATCGATCCAGTTGGTAAAGCCGAAAAGATCAAGGACTTGCAGGTGCAATCTTTTCTCCTTGCAGCAAAAACAAAGTTGGAATAGATCACAGATTTTACCACCATTATTCCAACTTACATCACATCATTTGTTCACAGATGAAAGGGTTGACGGTGGCCATGGTCGGCGACGGGATAAACGACTCGCCGGCTCTAGCCGCTGCAGACGTAGGCCTGGCGATTGGGGCTGGAACCGACGTCGCCATCGAAGCTGCCGACATTGTCCTGATGAGGAGCAGCCTCGAGGATGTGATCACTGCCATCGATCTCTCCAGGAAGACCCTCTCAAGAATCCGGCTCAACTACGTCTGGGCTCTGGGCTACAACGTCCTGGGCATGCCGGTCGCCGCGGGCGTCCTGTTCCCGTTCACCGGCATCCGGCTGCCGCCATGGCTCGCCGGAGCTTGCATGGCGGCCTCGTCGGTGAGCGTCGTCTGCTCGTCGCTGCTGCTCCAGCTCTACAAGAAGCCATTGCACGTCGAGGAGGTGGCTGCTGGACCCAAGAATGACCCGGATTTGGTGTGAAGACTGAAGAAGCGTCGGTCTTGCTGTGCTGACTGAAACTGAGCATGAAGCAAACGCCTTGTTTGCAGTGGCCCTCCTGACTGATTTCTGTACAGTAGTCATGTTTTGGGATTCTCTGTTTTTTTTTGGGTACTTCTGATTGATTCAATAATAATTTGGGGAGCTTAATTGCTATCCAGTGATATATAGATGTGAAATTGTGTTTAAACAGTGGAGAACAGTTGTTGTATTTTCTGGCAAGTGACCATTGCGACGTTGTAGCATTGGACTAGTTAGTAACTAGTTGAACTGTAAACTCATTGCAAAAGTAATCTACTCTTTAGTTATCCTTTGGAACACTGCATGCTTATCTTGCGGAAACCGAACTGAATCCTCTGAAAATCCTATAACATTTCATCTCAAATTTGTAGGAATATGTTCGTCGATACGCGCTATTTCAAACAATAAATTCAAAAGAGCACTGCTACACCAATTAAAATTTTCTTACTAAACTCTTACCCTCAATGATCTCAACCCTCAATTATCTCAACCGATTGATTTAACTATATGGGATTATAAAAAATCTAGGATATATTAATAGCATGACACATCAATGCTAATAAGAGTTCAGTAAGAAAAACGTAGTAGGTATAGTCTTTTCCAATCAAAAACTTTCTGCTCTAAAATCATGTGAAAATTCGTCGAGATGTCAGGACGGGAACGGAAGGAAAATGATCGGTAGGCAACGACGAGGAGGAAGAAGCAGCAGCAGCAGCCGCGCGTCCCGTTGGTTCGCGCCAAAAATAGCAGAAAAAACCCGCGCGCGCGACACCCGCGTCGTCGTCCGCTCGCCGTGTCTAAACATAGCTAAGCTCCCCTTCCCGCCGTATATATAATCCGGCGGCGCGCCCCTCCTCGACATCGCCGTACCTACAAAGATATCAACATGGTTTCCTCCACGAGAAGGACGACCTCGTCTCTATCCGCCACCACCGCCGCCGCCATCGCGGCGGCGGCGGCGGCGCTGATGGTGTCCGTGGCGTTCGCCACAGCGCAGTACACGCCGGCCACGCCGGCAGCGCCGGGGGCTGCAGCGGCGGGTGCGGCGGCGGGGGCGACGCCGGCGGCGCCGTACACGCCGGCCACGCCGGGGGCGGCGGGGGCGGCGCCGTCGGTGCCGGCGGGGCCGCTGGACATCGCGCAGCTGGGGGCGAAGGGCGACGGGACGAGCGACAGCACGGCGTTCGTGCTGCAGGCGTGGAAGAACGCGTGCAACGCGACGGGGACGCAGAAGATCGTGATCCCGCCGGGGAACTACCTCACCGGCGCGCTCAACCTCAAGGGGCCGTGCACCAGCAGCATCATCCTCCGCCTCGACGGCAACCTCCTCGGCACCGGCGACCTCAACGCCTACAAGACCAACTGGATCGAGGTGGAGCACGTCGACAACTTCGCCATCAACGGCCACGGCATCATCGACGGCCAGGGCCCCCTCGTCTGGACCCACAACCAGTGCAACAAGAACTACAACTGCAAGATCCTCCCCAATGTAAGCAACCCACACCCCCATCGTCTCTCTCTATAGCTACCTCCTCCTCCGTTTCATATCATAAAGTAGTTCTATTTTTCTATTCAAACTTATTTAAATTCAGCTAAATTTGTATATACAAAAAAGTAACACCTATAACATCGAATTAATTAGTTTCGAATAAATCTTATACTCTCTCGTTTTTCATGCGCACGCTTTACAAACTGTTAAACGTTGTGTTTTTTTATAAAAAATATAAAATAGTTGTTTTTTTAAAAAAATTATATTAATATATTTTTAAAGTTTATTTTAGCTAACGTTTAATTAATCAAATGCTAATAGATCACTCCATTTTGCCTTTGGGAAGGTGGAGTTTCCAACCTCCACATCTGAATATAGCCTAAGCTGGTCTTTTAACCAGCAAACACTATTGAGTATCACAGTCCATTTATAATTAATTGACATGGGCAAAATAACCAATGCTGTGATAGTAATTTGTATTGTTATCTTCTTGCTTCTCTGTATGACTAATAATGGGCAATTAATTAAAACAATGGATGGATGCAGAGCTTGGTGATCGACTACTCGACGAACGTGACAGTGAGGGGGATAACGCTGAAGAACAGCAAGTTCTTCCACCTCAACATATACGAGAGCAAGAACGTGGTGATCGACAAGGTGACCATCACGTCGCCGGGGGACAGCCCAAACACGGACGGCATCCACGTCGGCGACTCCACCAACATCACCATCAGCTCCACCACCATCGCCGCCGGCGACGACTGCATCTCCATCGGCCCCGGCACCAAGATGGTCCGCGTCAACGGCGTCCGCTGTGGCCCCGGTCACGGCATCTCCGTCGGCAGCCTCGGCCGGTACATACATACATACATACAACTGCCCCTTTCCTTCCCTATAGCTAAGCTAGCTAGCACCTGTTTAGATCGTGAAAAGAAAATTTTTTAATGTCACATCAGACGTTTGACCGGATACGAATGAAAAAACTAATTTCATAACTCGCCTGGAAACCGCGAGACGAATCTTCTGAGCCTAATTAATCTGTCATTAGCACATGTGGGTTACTGTAGCATCATTCGTAGTATTTTGAATATCTATTTAACTATTCGTCTTATTAAAAAATACGTAATTCATATTTATTTTGTTCTAAGTTGTTTTATCACTAAAATAGTACTTTAAGCATCTTATGCAATTGCATAATTTTTTTAATAAAACAAATGATCAATATGTGTCTAAAAGTCAATGACATCATCTATTAAAAAACCAGAGATAGTTAATAACTACTTAGTAGATAATTTGTATGTATAGAACCCGATAATATTAACTTCTGTTGTGTGTGGTTGGCCATCTCTGCAGGTACAAGGACGAGAAGGACGTGGAGGACATCATCGTCACCAACTGCACGATAAAGGGCACCACGAACGGCCTCCGGATCAAGTCGTACGAGGACTCCAAGTCGCAGCTGAGGGCGACCAAGTTCCTGTACGACGGCATCACCATGGACAACGTGAGCTACCCGATCATCATCGACCAGAAGTACTGCCCCAACAACATCTGCTCCGCGTCCGGCACGTCCAAGGTCGCCGTCACCGACATCGTCTTCAAGAACATCGTCGGCACGTCGGCGACGCCCGAGGCCGTCACGCTCAACTGCGCCAACAACCTGCCGTGCCAGGGCATCCAGCTGCACAACGTCGACCTCAAGTACGCCGGCCAAGGGAACACCACCCTCTCCGTCTGCAAGAACGTCGCCGGCAAGTCCAGCAACGTCGCCAAGGAGCTCGCCTGCGTCTGATTTTCATCTTATTATACTACTCTTCCGTTTCATATTACAAAGTCATTTGTTTTTTTTTAAAGCCAATTTTTTCAAAGTTTGACCAAAGTTTTTTAAAAAATATAGTAGTATTTTCAATATGAAAAGAACATATTATCAGAATATATTTCATATTGGATTTAATTAGACTAATTTAATATTTTATATGTTGCTATATTTTTTTTATAAATTTGTTTAAACTAAATAAAAATTGACTAGAAAAAGTCAAACAACTTATAATATGAAATGGAGATAGGGGGAGTAATTGTCGTCTGATTATATAGTTGTAAGTTAATCATCGTTCCCTCCGCTACATTCCCCTCACTTGTATTCTTCATCTAATTATTTTCCTCTCTCTCCCTCTTCGGATTTTTTTAATTATTTTCTTCTATTTATTTTTATGTTTGCTTCTTCTTCGTTTGGAATATATGATTCTTGTCCTGATTTCATTTCATTTAGTTTACTCGTTAATTGATTAATTAATTAATTGTTATCCGTTTAGTTGTCGTAGTTTAATCTCTTCAGTTCAATTATTTTTTTGTTTGATTCTTATTTGTTTGGAATATATGTTTTTCTTTTTCTGATTCTGATTCGGATGGAAACTGATCTGATTCGTACAAAATATAAAAATAACCATACCATAAGCCGTATAAGGAACAAACAAAGAATGATCACATGAGCTCTGTCTAAATCTAGCTTAATTCATCATGGCCATCTTGAATTTTGCAAATCAACGTTCTCGGTGCTTGTTTGAGACCATACAAGGCTTTCTTCAATCGGCAAACAAGAGGAATTGCTATGAGATTCGTGCGTACAAAAGGTGATTTGCACCAGGGTTTCCCAAACCGCCGGGGCCGGGGTTACCGCGCGGTAACCACAGTTAACCGTGAAAAACCATGCAAAATTTATCAAAAATTCAAATTATTTTTTAAATTTATTTGAATTTAAGAAGGTTACCGCGGTATTTATATTACCATACACCCGCGGTAAACCTAGTAACCGCGCGGTTACCGACGGTAAGTCGAACCCTGATTTGCACCCAGTAAAACATTTTGTTGTGTTTTTACTTTTGCTTTTACCAGATAGCTTGCTACCACGTACTAGCATAGCCCTGCAATACATGCAGCATGCACGAGTGGTTTCACCAGCTCACCTCCAAAATCCAAACCAAAATTTTGGCCTCAACGTTCTGAACCGTTCGATCATGCGACCAACATTACATCGATTTTCACATCCAGCATTGCATGCCAAAATCACTGAGACAATGACGACTTCAAATAAGTTCTTATTGTAACTGGAGAACATTAATTACATCCCTTCTGTAAAGCTCAGGGAAGCATACCTTATTAGTATTTTTACCATCACTAAGCACTAAAATATAGATGTAACTAGCTAGATACATTGCCTCATTGCATGCTTTCTTCAGAGATTATTGACACACTGATGAGATGAAAGCAGGCTATCCTCTATATGTTGGATCATGGAAGTGCAGGCAGAACCTTCCCAGTGCAGGTTCCGAATCCGACATTGTAGCCTTCACCCTGTAAAAACATGTAGATGGATGGCATCAAGATAGAGCATGGAATCTTCAAAGATATTTGTTTTAGACGAAAAGAGCTCTAAATTTGGTTTGATCAAGACTTATGAGATTGCTGTACCTTGCAACAAGCTGTCAAGATGACCTCATCCCCATCTTCTAGGAACTTGCGGGTCGAGTTTCCAACTGATATCTCCTTCTGCCCATTCCATGTTAGCTCCAGCAAACATCCCAAAGATTCTGTCTCCTGAAAGAAGGCAGATGTTTAGTTGTAAACATGCACGATAACTTCTAGATTGGTATGTTTATGGTGATATTTGAAATGGTTATTCCATACAGGTCCGCTTAGTGTGCCAGTTGCAAACATATCCCCTGGTCTCAGATTGCATCCATTAACAGTGTGGTGTGCTAGTTGCTGTGTTAAAGTCCAATACCTGGGAAAAAATAGTTACAGTAAGGACAAAGCTAACAAATACATATGGTAATGAAACGGCAATCGGAAAACAGGAAGCATCCTTACAGATGCTTGAAGTTACTCTTTGCAACCATTGATGGTTCACTTTGCTCCTTGGGCTTAATCCAGACCTTACAGAAAATGAAATGCAGTAATAATCATCAGTTTATGTTTTAATCAAATATCTATTAATATAAAAATATAAAAGAAGAAATGCCATGAGAAAATCCTACCTCAAGAGGAATATCGTAGTTTACGTGGTTCTTTTCAGCTAAGTAAGGCAAAGGTTCAGGTTCCTGCCACGCAAAGCAATTTAATTTATCCATAGAACAATAAAATGATGATTCTCAAGGAAAATATGGTTAACTATATACTATAATACTAAGACATGCTCACCTGCTTAGGAGCTTCACAGGTGAAAGGCTTTAGGGCATCCATAGTAACGATCCAGGGTGATACTGTGGTACCTAAAAATCACAAAGTAGGAAGGAAACATGTTACATTGACGAAAGATAAAAGCATAGTCCATTGCGGAAATCATGGAAGAATCCACTCAAGTAATTGTCGAGGCCACAGTAGAAATATGATCATGAGCATTTGTAAAAACTAAGCAATAAATGTGCAGGAAACTTTTCAACAGAGAGTGGTGTATTAGTGAACATGGCATAAGTATAACTGAAAAGGCATCAGGTGTCTTACTGAAACTTTTCCCAAGGAAAGGTCCAAGAGGTATAGTTTCCCAAGCTTGGATATCTCTGGCTGCAATATTATACAAAACTCAGTTTAACCAAAGTATGCAACTGATCTGAACGAAAACTGAAAAGAATACCTACCACTCCAATCATTCATTATCATTAGGCCAAAGATATGTTCTTCAGCATCATTAATATCGATAGGTTTTCCCAATTCATTCCCTGGTCCAACAATGGCTGCCTGAAAGCAACAAGCCAACAAAGCGTTATGATATATTTGATCCAGGGGAAATGAAAATATCTATAACTAATTACATACGGCCAGATTTTATACCACAATGACAACCAACAGCTCAAATTTAACAAACATGCAACAGGTATGTCAATAACAGTTCAAGAATACCAAATACTGTGAGTCAAGAGGTTTGTAAGAAACTAACCATCTCAAGTTCAAAATCAAGCTTCTTAGAAGGACCAAAATAAGGTCGAGAATCTCCTGTTGGATGGCCTTGCCCTCTAAAAGGCAGAGAAAGAGGACATTATTGACATATCAATTGGATATTATGACAAAAATAAAATGTAATATACTACACATATGTATCCATCTACAATACATCACTGCATGCAACAAAAAGTTGAATGCAGCAAACATCATCGAATATAGTGAATTATTTGAAAGAGGGCATTGAGAGCAATAATTAAGCAAAATAGACACTTCAGACTTCAGAGGTTATGTAAAACTAGAAACAGCTACCCGCTATCCAATAACACTAATATATTCAATCATTCAAACAATAGTAATAAAACTATCTCGTAATCTGACAGGAATTTGATAACTATCCGAATCTATGGGATGCGTACTTGGGTCGAATGATGTCTGTTCCAGATACAATCACAGAGGATGCACGACCATGATAACCTACTGGAAGCTGAAACCTGATGAAGCAAACATACATTGCAGATTAGTGTTTATGTCAAAACCCAAGTCTCAAGTCTCAGCACAAGGCATGGTCAAGAAAATACATTACCAATTTGGGTTGACTGGGGTCTGTGGCCCACGGAAGATGAACCCACAATTCCTTGCATGGTGCACAGAACAAAAGAAGTCGGTGTAGTCTCCTACCGTGATTGGCAGAAGCATCTCTGTGTCGCTCTAAATGATAAAAACAGAGAAGTTAGTGATTTCATAAATGGTCATCCTGTTTCTCGTAACAAAGAAAAGAGTAGTTGATCAAGCTCACCATGGGAACAAGGCACTTCTTCTTCAAGGCCTCGTTGTCACGCAAAACCGGCTCATCAGCTGCAAAGATTAGAGAACCCATTAAAAAAAAGTGTAAGTCTACCTCAGGATCTCATAATTCTTGGATAGTTTTGAACATAGGCGGTTAATCGATACTTTCAGTTTTGAACATAGGCGGTTAATCGATACTTTCTTGCATCATGATACATTGGCACAACATAGTACTAACAACACAACTACAGGTAGAATTACTCATCAGCATCAGAATTTGGGGGGCAGAAGCCGCGCTACTCATCGTGCATTACTAACAGCATAGTAGACTACTACAAGATATTGGGAATTTGAAGTGAGCAGCTAAAGTGTGAAACCTGAGAGGATCTTCTGCAGCGTGGCGCGCGCCTCCTTCCAGGCCGGACGCCCCATCCCCAGGAACATGTTGAGCGTTTCCTGCATGCACACGAAACAAATCTAAAAATTACTACTACTTGTAACCACCAAAAATCACAGTGGAATCAACCACCCAAATCTCCAATCTCCGCGCCGCGCAAATTGCTGCTAAGCTTAGCTCACCACCAGCAGATCAACCGCAACACAAGACGAGTAGGTAAGGTAAGGTAGGTAAGGTAGGCAGGGTGCGGACCTGGCGGAAGCAGGGGGAGGCGGAGAGGAGGGGCCCGTGGAAGAGGCCCGCGTCGGAGACGGCGGCGAGGTCGAGCGCGAAGTCCCCGATGGCGACGGCCGGGCGCGGCGGCTCCGGCTCCGGCGAGCCCCTGCGGCGGAAGACCCCGAAGGGGAGGTTCTGGATGGGGAAGTGCGACCCCGGCGCCACCTCCACGAACGACCTCAGCGGCGACCGCGACCCCTCCGCCATTGCCGACTCCTCTCTCGTCTCGTGTCGTGTCGTGTCGTGTCGTGGCGCAGATGAACAGTGGAAGAGCGAGGCGAGGCGAGGAGAGGAGGAAGAAGAGGCCGCAATAAATAGGCGCAGATGAACGGAAGCGGCGCCGGATACTAGCACAACGATATGAAGTGTCCTACACTCCTACTACTGGTAAAAAAGAAAAAGAAAAATTAGCTGCGTGATTTATCCAAAAAAAAAAAAGGAGCCATGTACGATCAGGTCTCTTTCTATGGACTCTATAAAGTATTAAGGCTGCGCCCCCACACTCGCACCCTTTTTAAACTACTAAACGGTATATTTTTTTACAAAAAATTTCTATACGAAAGTTGCTTAAAAAATCATATTAATCTATTTTTGAAAAAAATTAGCAAATACTTAATTAATCACGTGCTAATCGCTGCTCCGTTCCGAACGCAGCCTAAAGCCTCATCGATTATCCACATTTTCTCTAATAATTTTAAACGGTTTATTGAGAAATACAAATTAATTCATAGGTGAAACTTTGATATATTTGTTTGTAGCTAAAAAGGAATTACGTTGAAAATATTTTAAGATCAACTTTAAAATTAAGTTCGAAAATTCAAACTTTGGTTTTTTTCTTTAGCTTATTAGATCAACCGATGAAGCTCTTACTCTCTCCATCCAAAAGTTTAGAACTTAAGTATTTCTATTGCCATTCATTAAGACTAAGAAAAAAAGTTATCATGCATATAAGAGCAAGTTTAATAAGGGACTTATTGTTTAGGTTATGCTTATACTTATGGTTATAAGCCAAAATTTTAATTTTAGAACTTGATTTTGAATTTGATCTTTTTGTTTTCTCATCGTAGTTTATTTTACAACATTTGGTTTTGAATTGTTAAGAACACACAAATAAAACTTTTACTCATAAATGATTTATATTTGCAAATAAGTGATTCGAATAAGCATATGAATAAGCGAAACAATGGGATTGTAAGTAAAGCTAACTATTGGTTATTAGTTCATATTAGAGCTATCATGCATAATAGATTAACTATAAGTTTCACTTTATTTTTTTCTCTCGCTATAATTTTAATGTGATATTTTGGAGCATGTGTAGAACTAGCTTTTGCATTAGAGCCAACACCCATCATTTTTCTTTACCTCTTTCACATTAGCTTATAGTTGGTTTATATAGCCCACTATTATCCTTGCTCTAACAAAGATCAAGAGCTATACTATGTATGTAACCAATGGGCATTAAAAATGTTGCTTGGGTTCCGATCAACAATTTAATCTAGTATTGTAAAAAGAAAAGACAATCTCTTCATTTCAGTCTTATGTACTTAAAGTCTATAAATATGTCTATTTTATTTAGAAAAACTAAACAAATAGAATATGTATAAAACTTTTGGATGGAGGGAGTAGTAATAGATTTAAATGCTTTTGGATATAGTCACGGTAAAAATATAGCACCATATTCTTTAATTTGATTTCAGCTTGGTTTCCCCCGTGTGATCACTTTTATGTATGTTTTGAAACTCTCCTATCTTCTCTTTCGAGCACATAATTGATTGGTTTTTACAAGACTAACTATAATATAAGTATAATATAAGTATTAAAATTTACATGTAACTATAGTGTAAATACATATAATTTGTACCGTAAAAGAATTAATTATATTTGGTGCCACAAATAGAGTTAGCCTACATGGTTATGTTTCGATGAAGGCATGACGAGGGTCTAAATAGAGACATGGTCTTGTAGGATTTTTTTTTCTGGTTTATCTAAAACGTTTGTGTGGATTTTTGTGGTGTCAAAACTCAAAACTATCCAAGGATTATGAAGCTTAATTTAACCGTCTCTAAACTTTTGAATTTTAATTTAACTTCGATAAATTTACACAGTGTCATGTAGAGCCGTTGTAAACAAAGGATTTTCCTATTAATAATTCGGCCAACCAATCAAATAATAGTAGGATTTTTCGCACCGAACGAAAATAGGTCTCTCCGTCTAGGAAAAGCAAAAGCTGACGATCGACGATCGAGAGAAAGTAGGCGCATATTCCGGTTCAAGTAAAGTAATTTACGGTACAACTGCTGTGCTCATACTTCTAGGTTAGTTATCTCTTTGGTAAAAAAAAGCTCATCATACATGCATAGTGTAATAAAAATCACTTGAGTTTTTTTTTTCAGAAAAGGTTGAAGTACAGAAGAATGGAAGTAGAGTTCAATTCAGATAATTCTTGTTGACGCACACGAATACACGGTCGTTGCTACTGAGAAAAGGACACAAAGAGTAGAATTCTTGTTATGCTCTTGTGCGCTAGCTAGGAACACATTTATCTTTTTGTTAACTTATTGGCAACAACCAAAATTTAAAATTTACAACACTCCCTTATAATATTTGACGTTGGTTTGAACTAGCCAACATCTTCAAATATAACGAAACAAAGAGGGCTTTTTAAAACCATCAATGACAAGTTTTTTTTTCTATGAATCACTTTTGATCGCTACACAGATTTTTTTCCCACTACCTGCTTAATTCAAACGGTTTTGAAGAATTTTAAGAATTTAACTGATTTCTATGAGAATTTGTAAAACCTTTTCGTTTAAAAAGGGGTCATCATGAACTGTTTTAGAAGGAAAAGAAAAACAATTTCTTCTCCCATGCTTGGAGAGAGAAATCGCGGCTACATGTGAGGGCTCAGCACGAATGAGTGACGTGCCAGGTTGCCAACCGCCCGGCACCACACGCACCGGCGATCCGATCCATCCATCCATCCAGCCAGCCAGCCTACGTGTCCAGATTCTTCTAGAAGATATCATCATCCACACAACAAACCAAACCAAAATTTCCTTTTAGGGCTCCCTTCAATTGGAGGATTTGCATAGAAATTTTGGAGGATTTAATTTTCTAAGAATTTTTTCCTATGAAACCCTTTGATTCATAGGAAAGTATAGGAAATTTTCCTTAGGATTGTATTCATATAGCTCAATTTCATAGGAAAATAAGCAAGAGGTTCAACCTCTTGAAAACTATCCTTTGCTTTGTTTGTTTCCTATGGTGCTATCAAAGGGACCCTCTTCATATTTCCTGTGTTTTCCATTCCTGTAGGATTAGGAAAACACGCCACTTCAATTCCTACGTTTTTCCTATTTCTGTGTTTTTCCTATCCTGCGTTTCAAAAGGGCCCTTAACCAAACGAGCCCCAGCAACAAACTCTGATCTAGTCTTGTATGGTTGGCAAGGCACGCTCTATAGCCAACTTCAACTTATAGCCTGTTACTTCCTCCGTTGCACAACATAAGTCATAATGTGGGAAATGCTAGAATGACTTACATTGTGAAACGGAGGAAGTAAGATGGACGTCGTTTTGAACCATATCATTTTTTCAAAAAAAATGACAAATATATGGATGTATTTAGTTTGTTACCAAACGTTGGTAATGCCTACAGAATTTTGACAATAACACATTTAATCTATTCTACTGAAATTTGATAATGTTAACTTACAAAAATTTTGTCATTGCCAAATTTTGAAAAAGTTTATTTTGCATCAATCTAGCCCTTAAACACTTCTGTCATCCAGTCTGCCTGTTGCAAAATCAGTCTCAGGCATTTTCAGCCTCACATGTAAAACAAAATTACAAATACATCATCTCTATGTACGAGGTAATTCACAATCCAGCGAGACAATATATGAATTTATGATTTAACTTAAGATAAAATTGAAAACAAAAAAAAAAAGATACTCCTCCGAGTCACAAAATTAGCAAACACAAGAACAATGGGGCATGCCGCACACAGGGTGAAAAAATGACTGAAATCTCAGCTTCTGCTCAGTGCACGCGGATGGTGCCTCCCGGTGTTTGTGCAGGGAAAAAAAAAATCTCTGTGGATGTTCAGCTACAGCTCTTCAGGCAAAACAGACAGGGTGCTGTTAGAAACAACTAAGGAGGGCACGAGAACAGCAGCGACGTGTTGGTTCCACCAAACCCAAAGGAATTCGAGATGGCAGCTCGGATAGGCATCTTCTTTGGGGAAGATAGAGGCATGAACGCGCCTTCAAACAGCGTGTCTGGTTTTTCTAGATTAAGTGTCGGTGGAGCGATGCCCTGAAAATCGAAGATAAAATGTTATGCAGAGAACTCCTGAACTCAAACTGTTGGTGGTCAGTAACTGTAGACAACATACATGGTGGATGGCTAATACGGTGAAGATTGCTTCCACTGACCCAGCTGCCCCAAGCAGATGACCAATTGCTCCCTGAAGAATGTTGTGCCATTTGTCGTGAATGGGAGACGAAGGAATTGTGATGAATTAGTTGCACATGAGTGTGGGGGCTATACCTTTGTTGAGGACAATGCAAGACCACCTGATGTTGCATGGTCACCAAAGACAGATTTGATTGCATTAGCCTCTACAGCATCACCTAATTGTGGTTCAAATCAAACCATCACCTTTTATCATTATAGCTACAGATGACGTAGAACCAAGAACATGGCTTATAATGAAAAATATATATATGAAAAAACAGAAGTGCTGTCAGTCCAGATGAGGCTTGTCAGTCTGACTGTGCCACTTACCAAGAGGAGTTGAGGTCGCATGTGCATTCAGATAATCGATTTGATCTGCCTGAAGGCCTGACTAGAATAAGAGGAAGAACATTATCAGAATGTACCATAAATAGCCATGATGCATTTTACAGTTCCTTAACAACAATGTCAAATTTCTAAAATGTGCCACACAAAAAATCACAAAGGTGTATGACATTGCACCTGATCCAAAGCTCGTTTCATGGCTAAGGTAGCACCTCTACCATCATTTTGTGGCTGAGTTATGTGGTGTGCGTCACCTGAAAGAGTCATTCACAATGAAAGGCATCCTAACGACAGAATAAACAAAACTCTTTGTGGAATAGGAGGATACCAGACATTCCATAGCCTCTCACTTCTGCATAAATTTTTGCCCCACGTTCTTTTGCATGATCAAGTGCCTACAGAAGAGTATATGGTTAACCCTCTTAAGGTCAAATAAGATGAACTAAATGACACTTTCCAGACATAGAAAAAAATGCATACACGATAGAGAAAAAGAATTAGAATATTAAGGGATCAATAAGTGGATATGTGAGTCAAACTGATCATAAGACAGATCAAAGTATTAAATGGCTGATATTAAACTACACTCAACCAGAAACTTCAGAACGAAGGTGTAAAATACCAACATTTTTCTGAACTCACCTCCAACACCATAACTCCACAACCTTCACCAATCCTATTAATTATTTTGAAACAAAGATAAGAATAGCCACACATGAAAAAGGAAAAAAAGAAAGGGGGTATGATTTGATAAAGGATGACATACACAAATCCATCTCTACCACAATCAAATGGCCTGGAAGCCGCTTGAGGAAGAGAGTTATATTTTGTAGACAATGCTCTTAATCTGAAAAACAAATAACATCACAATGAAATAAGATAAGGTTGGCCACACTAATCAGAGGAGCAGACGCAATAGGGAATAGGGAACACTGAAAAATTAGAGATAAAGTTTGCATATGGATATTTATGGACCATGGGTGTTTTGTGTACATAGTTGGTTGAGGTCCCCTATTACTTCCTACAGCCATAATGTGAAAGGTATACCATATAACCTAAATAAAGCATTGAAAAAACTTACAGCATTTGCATAAAGAGAGCATATAAAAGAGTATTATGGAACATTAGTAAAACAAAACAAGAACAAAGATGCTTACCTAGAAAATCCAGCTATAGACAAAGCATCAATGCTGGACTCTGTTCCACCAGCCACCATTACATCCGCGTCTCCAAATTGAATCATCCGTGTAGCATCACCAATAGAGTGGGCACCTGTGGCACAAGCTGTCACAGCAGCATGGTTTGGACCCTAAGTTTGAACCATTAATTATCTGAATTAGCATCCATGTACGAAATGAATTATAGAATGAAAAGCCTGAACTATGGCATATGACAATTCACCTGGAAACCATATCTCATGCTGACATGACCGGATGCCATGTTAATCAAAATCTTGGGAATGAAATATGGACTGAGGCGACGTAGACGCTGTGCCATAATAAAAATAAATTTCAAATTTCAGTGCTGAAGTTACTGGAAGATTGTCGTTTACATTGCAAGTCACCTATGGCACTGCTTAGCAAAAGCATAAAAGAATGATGACGAGTAGAGAGTTCAGCACGTAGAAACACAATAGCGGTCAAGATAAATCATCTAGAAATATAGAAATCCAACTGCCATATCTGCCACAATAGCTAATAATACCAATAGAAAAAAAAATAAAAGAGTGTGGATACAAACATTTTCAAGTATCATCTGCGATGCATCTAAAATGTCTGAGATGCTTCCAATCCCTCCACCGATTGAGACTCCCTGATACAACTCCAATCAGACACCGCAATTCAGAAACACATAAAAAAAATATATAGTTCATACCAACAGCAGTTTGTACCGTTCTTTCCTTCTTCTCATCTTCTGAAGGCAACCAATTTGCATCTCTTAAAGCCTCATCAGCTGCACATAGAGCATAGGCTATAAATCCGGATATAGATTTATTGTCCTGGAAACAAGAAGGTCAATCAACAGTTCAAACATCAAAGCATGATACAGAGTTTAACCATATGAGCTATTCAGCACCGCCATTACATGTTTACAGCCATGCAAACAACATTCTGTCAGAATATTTTGGCTCCTAGTAGGAGAAGGAAAAAAATGGCAGAAGTAATTCTATCTACACATTTTGTTCCAAACTAGGACGTGCATATTTCTATAAGTATGCAATGAAAATATGAGTGGGAGCACAAATTAACAAAAAAAAAAAAGGAAAGGAAAACATTGAGAAATCAAGACACTTGTCACTCCTGGTGGCACTCAAGATAAGGTCATTGCCATTGTACAGCCTACCAGGAACAACATTAGTTTTTGTATTATGATGATCTATCACATTACTAGCAGAAAAATCGTGTTGGATAAAGAATTATAGATAACCTCAAATAGGAAAAGTGGTGCTAGAGGTAGTATGGGCAATCAATATCTATGTACATATTGGCCATGAAATGCGGTTAAACTTATCATCGCCACAAAATGGGGTGAAATTATGATGTAAGGACAGAGCAAAAGTTGCATTCCTATATATTTGCAAGACCTAAACGTTCTCCAATTTTAGCATCCAACAAGGCCTGAACAAATCACTCCACTCCTCAGTGCTTGAATCCCAATGCAGCACAGAAAGCAATCTACTGCACCAATCCAATCTCGCATTAACAACTAGTAGAAGCACATTAACAAAGCATTGGAATTATTAGGGCTAATGAAGCAACGGTGAGTATGATAAGCAACCTTAGTCCAAGCCTCCTCGTCGAACTCGGCGTCGCCCTTCCCGCGCGGCACGGGGGCGGCGACCCTGGACGGGAGCTGCTCCAGCGTCCTCCCCGCGTCGGCTCCCCCCGGGAGGCGCAGGTCCTCGGCGGCGAGCGCGCGCACCGCGCAGCCGCCGGCCACGAGGCGGTCCCAGGTGGGCCCCACGCCGCGGCCGAGAGGGGTGACGGCCCCGAGCCCCGTGACCACCACGCGGCGCCCCGCGGAGGGGCGCGGCGGGGGGAGCTCAGCCTGCTCCGCGGCCGCCGGAGCCGCCGAGGAGGAGGAGAGCCCACGGCGTAGGCCGAGGCGGAGCGCGCGGCGGAGGCAGCCCATCGCGGCGGCGCCGTCGCAAAGCCGCCGGAGTTCGAAGCAAAGGCGAAGAGTGGAGATGAGTCCTCTCGACTGTTTTCCGTTTCGAGCAGTTTACAGCCGCTGGATGCGTGCATCGAACGGCTAGGATCTATTGATGTACTGCCTTTCTTTTATTATTTTTTTCCCTTTTTCTTCTTTAAATTTAAATATTGTTGGGGCTGAACCAAATTACTTCACTGTGCAAACTATAATTTACCAACCGGCAAACATATTTTACACAATCAACCCTCATCTTGCTATAAACTTTGAGGACAGTTTCAACTAGCAAATCAGCAGTGGAACAACAATAGACACATGCACACAAGACACGGTGATTTACGTGGAAAACCTCTTCGGTATGAGGAGTAAAAAACCATGGGACCAACGATGCACTCCAAGCTTCTGTTATAAACAATAATGGGCACAAATGGAGTCTTCACTAGAACATCTAAATGCACATCGCAACATCAGCTATAACATCAAGTTACACACTTGACATCATCAACATCAACCACCAAAACTAACAAGAGGTATATCAACAAACAAGCAGAGAAATAGCAGATCCTTTTTGGTTCTCAACTGAGATCTCCCAAACCACATATGCAAATTGCACGAAACTTGGTACAAATGATGGCCTATGAGTCATTTCCAAGCTGTCCAAAAAACAACACAATTGAACACCATTTGACCCTTCAAACTGACATTCCACCAAATGTTGCATAATGTAACTGTAGCAACTCGAGCTGATAAACCACTACTCAAATCAGGTACTCTACTCAACCAATCCTTGCATAAACTAGCCAGATTAAAGTGCTCAAAGTAAGGAACAAACTCACCAAGTTTGGTGCCAATTCAATCACGTTTGAACCTCCAATCGCTGACTTGATGAAGATCGGATAAGAGCTACCAAGCTGAACAAACTGTAACTTTTCTTCTCTACTCTCCGCTCTCTCTCTCTCTTGTGTTTTGCTGGTTTTCTTCTCGTCCTCAATGGTTGTTGTTATCTCAACTCTCTCCATGAAAGCTAGGGTTTTTCTTCCTATCACAAAGGATGTGGTAATCTTCACCATTGATCAAGGATATGAATCAATGGCTCATATTTGTTAGATTTTCGGGCTGCAATGGGCTGAGAGCAAATGCTTATGGAGGAAAATTTGGCCCAACAAATACTAGACTTACTTTTTTTTAAGAGGAAAGTACTCCCTCTGTTGCAAAATGTTTGACACCGTTGACTTTTTAGCACATGTTTGACCGTTCGTTTTATTCGAAAAAATTTGTGAAATATGTAAAACTATATGTGCACATGAAAGTATATTTAACAATGAATCAAATGATATGAAAAGAATAAATAATTACTTAAAATTTTTTGAATAAAACAAATTGTCAAACACGTACTAAAAAGTCAACGGTGTCAAATATTTTGAAACAGAGGGAGTACTAGACTTACTAGTACTGTTTTTTACCACTATTTCTGAACACCGTTTGGCGCATCCAACCATTATCATAATTTCAATTTATGGCAGTAAAGACATAAACATCTTGCCTCTTCTTGATCATATTAGAATATGAGAAAGTTGAGAGTTTAACTCATGAACCTATGAACCTATGTCTCGAATCTTAACTCATGAACCATCATTGTCGACAGGTGATGCCCGTAGACCGGATATAGAGGGTATTGGGGTACTTTGGTACAAGGATCTACGTAGTACGACATCAAGCGAACAAAAGACAAGAATTATACTGGTTCAGGCCCCTTGATAGGTAATAGCCCTAATCCAGTTGATGTGGGATTATATGGTAGAAAACACAGGTTACAAAGGGAACAATGGAACTTGTCGAATCCGGCGAAATCGTAGTCGAGTTGATTCGACTAGATCTCGATGGCTTGGCTCCTTGCAGGCTCCGGCTTCGTAGGTTATGTGGGTTGTGTCGGCTCTGAGATTCGATCCTTTAAGCCCTCACCAGGGGTCCCTTTTATATCACAGATCTGGAGGTCTCCAAGTAGAACTCGGAGATATCAGACCCTATTCGATACGTCAACGACCCAATCTTGTCCGAGTAGGATTCTTCCCATCCGTAGATTCCGTGAAGTATTTCCATAGAATATATAGGAAGTATCTGTATGCGCGTGGGTATACCATACCGATATGTAACATATATCGAAGGGTAAAGGGTATGCCTAACCCGTAACCCTGACAGTAGCCCCCGACTTCTGCTTAAAATGGGCTCGTGTAACCATTCACGACTTCGGGTGTCGAGATTGTTGTCGTTCCCGGTGCGAGGATCGCGGAGACAGGCCGTAGTCGAGCACGCCATTCAAAGCCCAACGGTCACGAGCGAATTTTAAACTGAAGTCCAGAAAACCGCCGCGCGTAACGGACCCAGAAATTTCCGGCGGGCATCTCTCTCTGTCCTTGGAATTCGCACCGTCGGTAGTGCGCCTATTTAAAGGAATTTTGGAGATCCATTTTGAAGTCCGCCAACCGTGTTGAAAACATTCCACCTGTAAGCGCTCTTCGCCTTCTTCGCCGTCACAAGAAACCCTAGTTCATCAACCTAGGCCCTTTCTCCGGCGATCTTGAATCAGCAATGGACCTCAGCAAGTCATCTTCCACCAGTGCGTCGCTGAAGAAGCTTCAGGAAGACGGCGTCCTTCCTGGCCGTGGAACCATGGAGAGAGAAGCAGGAGGTACTAATCCCCAGCCCATCTTGGGTCGCATGGTTGCGATCGAAGATTATGTTCTCTGCGGTCTTCTCCCTCCACCTTCCGAGTTTCTTCTCTTGGTTTTGAATTTCTATGGTCTTTCTCTTCTCCATTTGAACCCCAATTCCATTGCCTTTCTTAGCATCTTTGCCCCATCTTTGCGAGGCCTACATTGGGGTAGAGCCTTTTCTTGATCTCTTTCGCTCTTACTATGAACTGTGTTGGATGGAATCCAACAGGGTATCTGGTTGCGTCGGGTTCCGACTTCAGGATGGCCTGAAGTCGCGTTATATCCCCTTCCAGTGCCCTTCTTCTCGCAGCAAATAGCGGAATAGGTGGTTCTACCTTGAGATCAAAGATTCGAACCCTGTCTTCGTTGTTCCCAAAGAACAACCGGACAAGATTTCGTCTTGGACCGCAAAGCCCCCCTTGACCCCTTCTCTTCAGCCGTTTATCGACATCATCGATGATCTCCGAGTACGGGGCTTGTCGGGGTATGAAGTCATTGCAGACTTCGTTGGTAGGCGGATCCAGCCACTCCAGGCTCGGGCCTATCCAGCTTATAATTATTCCGGACCGGAGGACGCGACCCGGGTTTCTCCTCGGGGTATCTTTCTCGCATTTATCCTGACATGCTTATGTTCGCGTTCCTATTGACTCATCGAAATCTGGTTCTCGATTTACAGGTCTGAACAGTGAGGCCGTGGAGCGCCGTGTCGGCCAGGTGATGATCAGCGGTCCGACAACGGCGAGCAACATCCCCACGCCTCTTTGTGAAAAGGGGGCGGCCGAGCGTGATGACGCTATCAACGTAAGTGCACCCGATAAGCATCACGCATTTTTCCTTCGAGATCACCTTATGACTTGATTAAGCGTAGGCTCTTCCTCTGACTGACATCATCGGGCCACTCACAGACCATCAGGTGGCGGCGTCTCTGAAAGAGAAGGTCGCCAAGGAGGCGTATGATGCTGCTGCTGCCACCACTAGCGGTGGCAATGTTGCGACAAAGGGGAGGAAGTTCTCCTCTGTAAGCGGACATCGTCGCAAGACGCCGACACCCTCGGTAATTTATCCTGTCGTCAGATCGTGCAGCCAGAAGGATTTTGCCTTACTTTGCGTTGATTGTCTTTCAGGCCTCGGACGCGTCACCCCCACCTCCACGACGACAACGTATTGTGACGATCGGCGAGAAGTAAGTAGATGAATTTTTAGATTTCCGTGATTCTATTCAAGCGTTGTCTGACCCATGGTCGTCCTGTAGGGAGGCGCGGGCAAAGGCTGCGCAAGCCAAGTCCGGAGGGACTTCCAGTGCGTCGCCTGCCGCGGCTTCGACGGATGTCGTGCCCGCAGCCGGGAGCTGGAAGGCGACGCCTAGCGGCCCAGTCAGCGATCCCGCGGTAGGTCGTGATCCACCAGCTGCCGTCCTCACCTGGGAGGAGCTCTAAGTCAAGATGGGGCGCCTCCTCGAAGCGGGTGCTCGCGGTATTGGCCGCGAGATTGCGGAGGCGAGGTCGGAAGCAGCGCTGGCGAACGCACGTGCTGACCGGCTGGTGCGCGAGTTGGCTGGAGCTCGTGAAGACCTCACGAAGATGAGGGAATTGGTGGCCGGCAACGAGCGACAACGGAAGAGGCTCGAGGACCGCATGTCGGAACTCGGGAACAACCTATCGGAGATCCAGGGCTCGTTGCGGGTCACCTACACTGGCCTGCACCAGCTCGCCGGGGAGTGCGGCATCAAGTTTACGATCCTGGTGAATCCCGACGAGTTCTCGCTGACCTCCTCCCTTGCGGAACTGGCGACGGCGATGGGGGAGATCCCCTCCAAGCATGCAGCCAGGATCGCGAAGGAGACGTCGAACGGGATCTACACTGGGGCGTGTCATGTCCTCGCGTGTGTAAAGCTGTCGCGTCCTGAACTCGATCTGCGCGAGATCTTGGATCAGGGGGCGGCTAGTGACACGCGGAGGGAGGTGATGGAAGAAGTCGGTGATTTGGGGGAGTCTGTTCTCCCCCTATTTGAAGAGTAGGACTTCTTGTACTTCCAAGACACAATGTGTAAAACTTGAATTCTAACCTCCTTCGTGCGGGCGATTATCATCCTAGTTTACTTTTGTATGTTGACCTCAGGAACTCTTGTCCTTTGTAGAGATGCTGATGACGAGGATGTCTAGCAGCGCGGGCAGCCCGAGTCACTGGCGATAATTCCAGTACTCGAGTTTGAACCACACGTGTCGCCCGACAATGTGGATTAGACCCTTGATACGGAGACAGGGATAA